GTGCGCCTGCCCGGCGCTCGGGGCTCCCGAACACCACCCCCCCAGGGGCTGGCCGGGGACCCACGTCGGAGGCGGCCCCGGCCAGACGCTCGCTGTCCTCGGTTGGCCGCGGGAGACCGCGATCCCCAGCCCGTCCTCTGGCGCGGCGAGTGACAAAGAAGTCTCCGGGCTCTCGAGGCCGACGGGAAGCGCGCTCGGCCTCTCCGGCGACCCGGAGCCGGGAGTCGGGCTGCGTGCCCTGCACCGTGGCGAGACCGCCCCGGCGCCAGTCGCTCTAGAAGCCGAGCGGACGCCGCGGGCGCCGGGCCCGGCTCTCAGTGCCTCTGGGCCGGCTGAGCGCGGCGTGCGGCTTCGCGACCTGGTTTCGAGGAATCGGGAGGGCGGCGGGCAGCGCTTGGGCCCGGCAGCAGGGACTTGGCGCCCAGGCGCGCGGCCCGCCAGAAGGACGTTGGCGCGACACGGAGCCCGAGACCCTGGGGGCGGCCGGGAGCTGTCCGGGGCACTTCCCTGCCGAGAGAAATCAGGCCCTTCTGACTGAAAAATAAAAGATTTCGGGACGCCAGTGTGTCGCAGGACAGTCTCTTCCCACCCGCTCTGAGGCAGCTCCCCTTTCTCGAATTGGCAGCGTGTGTACGTTAATATTTTAATTAATCGGGAAAATCGAAGTCCGCTTCACGTTATCTGGGGACCCCCACGCCTCTTCGAAGGGGTGAGGAAAAAAAGATGCGTTACAAAGCAATCCATTTTGCTGGTGTTGGGGGTTAATGACTATTGCCAAAGATAAGTGAATTATCAAAGCGGTTGCGCCAGCCCCGTCTCCAAATCCATTACGGTGCCGGCCGTCTAATTAAATACGTAAGTATAATAAAATCATATTTTATGACTATTTGAGGGTAATGAGATTAGTCTTTAGAAGCGGTCGCCACATATTAAAGATGCCACTGTCTATGGAATGTTAATAACCTTAAATCAAAGTGTATGGAAACTATTCACGATAAATTAAAAGAAAATTTCTGTATTCCTATGCAGCCCAGCGCTTTTCACTCACTGGAGACCCGAGTGGAGGAGGGCGTGGATAGAAAACGCAAAATAAAGTTGGCGACGGCTGCAGGGTGGGGTTGGGAAGCGCTTTGTCTCCGCGTGTTTAGCTGCTTCAGGGGCCAGTGGCCAGGCGAGCGTTATTGTCAGAATATGCAAAGTGTCTTTTCGGGAGAGATGAAGTTGGAACTAGCCGACAATGCTTCCTTTGTGGCACACTTCCTAAAATGCCCAGCCCTTGCTGGAGGTGCCCCTTCCCTGTGCTCACGAAAGGATCACGCTTAAAATCATTTACAGTATCTTTAATTCAGATTACACACGCGCCAAGGCGATTTAAATCTGATTACCAAATTAGAAGGTTTAAAAACAAATCCTTCTAAATCTGATACTGTTGACTAAGGAGGAAAAAAAAGTTCTATAAGCCCATCACATAAGGTAACGATCCTGCCCCAGAAAGAAAGGGGGTTTAAACCTTTCTGACAACACACGCAGCTGCCCCACGATTTTGGACGATATTAAGCGAAAATGAATGCAAATCTGTGTTCAGCAGCCATCTGGCCCGAGATGGGGGAATCAGCTGCGCTCACAACAGGCTCGGAGGCTGAATCCATTTCAACTCATTTTCTAGATCATCTGGTCCCGCACCCAAAGCGTGGAAAATACGGTCTTTATCATTCACCAACTTTATCTTTTTTGTCACTCCACTGCTGGCTCCGGGCTGAGGCACAAGGAGTCGCAGCCGGGCCGGGTCTCCACCTCGGCCTGCTGCGGAGCGGCCAAGGGAGGGCTGCCCCCTCGCCCCCACCCCGTCCCGAACTGTCGCCCACCGGAGGGTGCAGCCGCGGAGGGGGGCAGAGCGCACCCGAGGCCCGGGTGGAGGATGGGCTGCAGGTCAATTCCTGGATGTCCTGAGAGGTGCGAAGCGCGTCCTCGCGCCTGGCCACCTCCCGCGGGAGCCCTGCTCCGCCCCGAACCCTTTCTAGGGAGTGAGGGACGGCGCGGGGCGGGGAGCAAACTGGAGGGGCGCGACAGGAGAAAGGCTGGCACTCCGTAAGTTGCGCAGGCCGCTGCAGCCCGCGGTCCAGCCCCCGCGCACCGCGCGCTCCCAGGGGCCAGCCCGGCGTCCAGGGGCCGTGGCGGGCGGGGCCTGACTCCGCCTGTGATCCTGCGAGCCGCGGCGGCGGCGGCGGCCACCGCACAGGGCCCCGCGCCCAGCGCGATTTGCACGGGTGGCCTCGCGCCGCCGCCGCCGCCGCCTCGGAGGGTGGGAAAGCTTCCTTTTGTGCGGATTTACGGGGAGAGGCTTCCAGGAGCCCCTCGCATTTGCATTTAAATAGCGGCATCAAGCGCTTCGCGTGCCACACACCAGTGGGCTCCCAGATGTCACGCCGAGCCAGTCAGATGGCCAGTGCCCAGCTGTCCTCCCACGTCGTGTGGGAGCAGGCAATGACCTTAAAGAGACAGCGCCCTGCCGCCCCTGGGGCTCCGCGCGGGCAGCGGCGTGCTCGGCCCGGACTCAAGGCCTCAACGGAGCCTGGGCCGCTGACTCCTGGCGCCACCCGAGGCCAGGCCAGGTTGGCCGCCTGCGCAGGGCCCGCACCCAGGCCCAGCCGGCCTCCCTGCCCAGCCGCGCGGTATCCAGTGCCAAGACCGCCTTGTGCACCGTGGCCCTCCATCGGCACCTACTACCCACGGCGGGAAGGCAGTCTGCGCGCTCCAGGGACCTCCTCTCCAAGACCTCCCCAGTCCCAAGCCGGCCACTGCAACGTGGTGTGAGGTCCAGGGACTAGGAGCCGGGCTCCTGCCGCCTCCCAGCCGCTCAGAAACTTCAGCCAATTTGGGGTTCCAAGGCGCGCAGCCCGCCGTTTAAGCGCGCCTACCAAGCGACCCTGGGAGCTGATCTAACGCGCCTTGCTGCCCCTAGCCAAGCCCAGGGCGCTGACCTCCCTACCAGCCTTCGCAGGAGCATTTCCGGCGTCGACGAGCCCAGGCTAGGGGTTCCTGGAAGGCGAGACCTTGAGGGATCAGGAGGTGTGCAGGCCTGGCCAGACACGGTGCCCTCGGAGGGCCCACAGCCACAGGCCCAGACCGTTCAGCCATGGCACCCAGGAAAGTGGCTGGAGACAGTGAGCGCCTAGGCACCTACTGCCTGCGGCTCGCCTCAGGCTGCCGGGCTGACTTGCAGGCGCAGCCCGCCCCCACGTCCTCCACTCCCTGGGTCACGCTCACACAGCGGCCACCAGGGCATCATTCCTACCCAGGCCTGGGGTCG